TTAGCATTAGGCGATCGTACGCTAGTTTTTGTGTGATGAAACAGCTGCCACCGGACGCATTTCCGGTTCGAGAAGTTAACTTCACTCATGACGAATTTATCTTATATATATTTTTAAGCAATATTCGCTTATTTTTAGATTTATGCTTTGATTTTTCTTTTTGGTCCTCAGGATGTTGGCATCGGCCGTTGATGAGTCAGGCGTCCTCGAATTTATTGCGCCTTTTCTCCGTGAACATCGACACGACCAATTTGCACGCTCTTATTTCTTGCACTGCCCTCAGCCTCGCATCCTTACTCAACGTTCTTCAGGATCTCCTCGCCCCTCCAGACCAACTCCTCATTCAGAGTTTAATGGCACTCCTGATATTATTAGTGATTGTTCTAATGGCAAATCAGATGAGCAACTCCAACGGAAACGCCTACGTCCATCAAGCCTCCCTTCTAGTGATTCCGTTCTCACCGATAGACACGCTGAGCAAGAAAAGGTGAATCCTACGAGGACTTGGGCCAAAACCAGAACTGAGCTGGATTCAGATTCAGAAGGACTGCTGGCAAGGCATCAACGACGCCGCTTAGCCAGTCAAGACAGTCATTACACCAACTTTTCGCCTAAGCCTAATTCACCAACCATTTCACCACGCATTTCTTCGACTCGATCTGCTTCGCCCACCGGCTCTGTCTATGACCTTGAAAAAGCTTTCCATCCACAAGTACTTCCTTCTGATGCGGGTCCGGATGAGGACCAGATTTATAAAGAGGCAGCCGCGCGACAGCAACATGCTTTTCCGGCATTATTCTCGAAGTCTTCTTCTTTTTCCCAATCTTCTCGCTCTTCATTTTCTTCGACTCATTCAACCTCTTCTACAGCTCTCACTTTCGATCAGCCTCCCCTCCTTCAAGACACCGCTATAGACGAGTGGCTACTTCGCCTTACACCTGCCTTGAACAGTTATCGTGAGGAGGCGAAATCATTAGTAGCCTTTCATTTTGCAGGCGAGGCGAGTCTTATTGGCTTGGATGAGAATCGTACTATTGAAGTAAGCCCTTTGGTACCAAATCTGTCCCTGTTATTTGCTGGCTTTGATAACCATCTTGTTATGAATAAAGTTAGAAGGAAATAAAATCCTATTTATATTTTCTTTAAGCAAGGAAAATGAAAAGATCTGAGATTCTCAAATTGAGCGCTTGTTTTGGAAGGTAGCTTGGTCTTGCAAACATATTTTTCAAAATTTTTCCTCTCTTGTCTCCGGATCAAAGATGTTCCAATACAATCTACTTTTTATAGCATATTTACGAGAAGACTGCTGTTTTGCCTTATTAATCCAGAACCATGGCTTTTTGAAGGCCCAAAGTTGACGACTTCTATGGAAACCTTTATTTAATAACCCAATCTAACGTTCCTCACCGAGTAAAATCTGACGTGAAAGACCCGATTTCCGTAACATATTCAAAATTTTGATTAAACTCTCAATGAAATAGGTATGATTGAATCCCGACAGCTAATAATCATATTATTCAGCAGTCTGGCAACCTAAAAATTACCATTGATGGGAAGTATTTTTTTAAGG